AAAAAAAAAAAAAAAAAAAAAGCGAGGGAGGAGACAATGTAAAAATCAGAAGTAAACTTAAAAACAGAAAAAAATTCTTGGAGAGCATGTACACGAAACAAGAACAAAAATTGTTACATATTAAAAAAAGAAGTCGGGCACAGTGGCTCATGCCTGTGTAAAAATCAGAAGTAAACTTAAAAACAGAAAAAAATCCTTGGAGAGCATGTACATGAAACAAGAACAAAAATTGTTACATATTAAAAAAAGAAGTCGGGCACAGTGGCTCATGCCTGTAATCCCAGCACTTGGGGAAGCAGAGGCGAGAGGACTGCCTGAGCCCAGGGGTTCAAGACTGGCCTGGGGAATTTGGTGAGACCGTATCTCTACTATAAGTCCCAAAAATTAGCCGGGGACGGTGGCATGCGCCTGGAGTTCCAGCTGCTTGGAAAGCTGAGGCAGAAAGATTGCCGAGCTCAGCAGGATGAGGCTGCAATGACTGTGAGCGTGCCACTGTACTCCAGCCTGGGTGACAGAGTGAGGAGAGTGAGACTCCAACTCTAAATAAATAAATAAGTAACAATTAAAAAAAGAAGCAATCAGTGAACACGAGAGAGTTAAAATTAAAATATTCAAGGACTAAAAAGAGTTAATGAAACTGAAAGCGGATCTCATGAAGATAGAAGATTGGTGGTTACCAGAAGTCAGATGGTGGGAGTGGGGAGGAATGGAGAGAGGCTGATTAATGGGTAGAAATAAACAGTTATATAGAAGACATAAGATCTAGTGTTCAACAGATCAGCAGACTGACTGCACTTAACAATAATCTGGCCAGGCTTGGTGGCTCAGCCGGTCATCCCAGCACTTTGGGAGGCCAAGGCGAGTGGCTTGCCTGAGCCCGCGGGTTCGAGACCCGCCCGGGCAACTTGGCGAGACCTCGTCTCTACAATAAATCAAAAACTAGCCAGGCGTGGTAGTGTGCACCTGTCGTTCCGGCTACTAGGAAGGCTGAGGCGGAAGGATCGCTGGAGCCCAGCAGGTCGAGGCTGCGGTGGCCGTAAGTGTGCCACTGTACTCCAATCTGGGCAACAGAGTGAGATTCCAAGTCAAAAACAAACAATAATCTATGGCACATTTCAGAATTGCTAGAAGAAAATAATTTGGATGTTCTTGGCATAAAGATATATATTTAAGGTGGTGGATATTTCAATTACCTCAACTTGATCTTTATGCATTATATAATGTGCCAAATTATTGCATGTACCCTGAAGATATGTACATCTGTTATGTACCTTTTTTAAAGTTAATGAAACTGCCCAGAGAATAAAACAAAAAGAAACAAAAGGAGAAAAAAGATAAAAGCTATTGGCTGGGCGTGGTAGCTCACAACTATAATCCCAGCACTTTGGGAGGCTGAGATGAGAGGATTGCTTGAGCCCATGGATTCAAGACCAGCCTGGGCAACTTGGTGAGACCTCATCTCTACAATAAATCAAGAAAAACTAGTTGGGTGTGGTGGCGCGTGCCTGTAGTTCCAGCTACTTGAAAGGTTGGGGTGGAAGGATCGACTGAGCCCAGCAAGTGGAGGCTGCAGCGGCCATGAGTGTGCCACTGCACTCCAGCCTGGGTGACAGAGTGAGACTCCAGCTCAAAAGAAAAAAAAAAAAAAGATAGGCGCTATCATTTGGGTTCCAAAAGCCTCTAGAAGAACCAAGGAAAATGGGGTGAGGATGCAGCTTGAGCCAGGAAGTGGCAGCAAACAGGTGATTTATATAGAGACAGAAAACATTATATCCATAATGCAAAACAAAAGAATGCAACAACTTATGAACACCAATACTTGGAAATTAGAAGACAATGAGGCAACGCCTTTAAAATTCTATGGAAAGGACAAGCCTGGTGGTTCACACCTGTAACTCTAACACTTTGGGAGACCACGGTGAGAGGACTGCTTGAGCCTAGGAGTTCAAGCCCAGCCTAGACAACATAGCAAGACCTTGCTTCTACAAAAAAAATTATTTAAGTTAACTAGGTGCACTTGTAGTTCCAGTTACTTGGGAGAGTGAGGTAGAAGGATCTCCTGAGCCCAGGAGTCTGAGGCTGCAGTGAGCTATGATTGTGCTACTACACTCCAGCCTGGATGACAGAGTGAGACTCCAACTCAAAAAAAAAAAACAAAACTAAGTGAAAATATTTCCAGCCTAAAAAAAATTTTTTTTGGAATCAGAATCTCACTCTGTCGCCCAGGCTGGAGTGTAGTGGCACAATCATGGTCACCACAACCTCGACCTGCTGGGCTCAGGCAATCCGTCTCAGCCTTCCAAGTAGCTGGAACTACAGAAGCGCGCCACCACGACCGGCTCATTTTTTGATTTATTGTAGAGATGAAGTCTTGCCAAGTTGCCCGGGCTGGTCTTGAACCCCTGGGTTCAGGCAATCCTCTCACTTCCACCTCCCAAAGTGCTGAGATTACAGGCATGATCCACCATGCCTGACCTCCAGCCTAAAATTCAATACCTAGCTTAACTATCAATCAGATATAAACAAAGAATCCACATTTTCAGACAGTGCCACAAAGTCTACTTCCCATCTTCACTTTCTCTAGAAGTTATTGAAGGATGCAATTGACCCAAGTGAAGGAGTAAAGGAAGAGGAAGATTTAAGAACCAGGCAAGAGGAGACCCAACACAGAAGAACCAAGAAAGGTGAGAAGAAGCCCCAGAAGACCACTATGATGTAAACCTGGAAAGCTATGCCACATCAGATTCAGAGGATGAAGGACTCCAAGAAAGAAATTTTAAAAAAAGATGCTGGGCTCGGTGACTCAGCCTGTAATCCCGTGCTTTAGGAGGCTGGGGTGAGTGGATTGCCTGAGCCCGTGGGTTCGAGACCGGCCTGGGCAACTTGGCGAGACCTCATCTCCACAATAAATCAAAAATCAGCCGAGCATGGTAGCGCGCGCCTGTAGTTCCAGCTACTCGGAAGGCTGAGGCGGAAGGATCACCAGAGCCCAGCAGGTTGAGGCTGCCGTGTCCGGGAGCGGCCACTGCACTCCAGTCTGGGTGACAGAGTGAGATGCCAACTCAAAAAAATAAATAAATAAACAAATAAATAAAAATTTAAAAAAGACAAGAAGTGTATAGATCTTTTGCAGTCTTGGAGGAAAATTAGCTCGATATGTAGCAGTGGGCCAATAATATGTAGAAAACCTAACAATAAAAAACTTGAAGGCAACCCTCTTTCTGGTCCCCTCCTGCTGCTGGGAGCTTTCCTATCTTCTAATAAATCCCTACTTCCTCAAAAACAAAACAACAAAAAAAGCCTTGAGGTTATTTATTATAAACTTGTATTATGATACTTATACTATGTTATGATACAATGAAGTTCCTACTTCTTAGAAATTTTGTAGCTGGGAACAGTGGTGTGCACCTGTAGTCCCAGCTACTCTAGAGGCTGAGGCAGGCGGATGGTTTGTTCCCAAGAGTTTGAGGCTGTAGGGCACTATGATTGTGAACAGCCACTGTACTCCAGCCTGGGCAACATAGCGAGACTCCATCTCTAAAAAATGTAAAAGAAAGAAAAAAGACACAGAAAAGAAAGGGCAGTAGAGTACTCCTTTTAGCAGGGCTCAGTGGCTCATGCTATAATCCCAGCACTTTGAGAGGCTGAGGTGGGAGGATTGTTTGAGACCAATTGTTCAAGACTAGTCAGTAGTAAGACTCCATCTTAACAGAGAGAGGAGAGGGAGGGGAAGGGGAAGAGAAGGGGGGGGAGAGAAAAGGAGTATTCCTTTTGTCTTACCTATCTGTGACTGCTTTTAGCCACCTATTACATTCCTACCCAAGAGATAAACAGGATCTAAGAGTCTGTATCTTGACAGGAGGCACTCAGGGGGTCTACTCTCGTTCCCAGGATGAGGGTAGGAGGTGGGTAGCATGTAGAAGACATATAAAATGCTCCCAAAGAGACACAAAGGAAGCTGTGAAAAAGTCCTTGTGATCTGATGAATAATTAAAGGTCAAAGATGGAAATAATGCAGGTACAAATCACCGAGACACCTCCAATCAAGCACGAACAGTGGCAAATTTGATGGACAGGTGTGAGAATCTGTGGCAATGGTGATCATGTGAGGTGATTCAAACAGCGGAGCCCACGAGGATTCTGGACATAACTGAGAGTCTATTTAGAGGGAAAATCAGCGAGAACAAGCTTGGTCCACATACCCAGGCCCCTGCGAGAAGCCCATCACATCAGACTGTAAAACTGGCTACATGGGAGAGGCAAGTAAAAAAATGCAAAGGAGTTAACTTTCAAACCCAACAAACGTGGTCCCCATTATGGGATGCGGCTTCTTACTTTTCGTCTTCACTTCCTTCTTTTCTTATTTCCTCTCCTCTTGCTTTTGTCACTCGGGAGCCCTTCGTTCTTCTGGATCCTCATTCAGAAACTTGGCTCGCTTCAACCTGCACCTTCTTCCACAGCCCTCAAAATCCACCCTTTATCCCACTGCAATTATCCCACGTCTTATGTGCCCTATCACCTACTGGATGAAATCCTTCCAGCCATCCTGAATCCATTTCTCAAGCATTCCTCTCTAAGTAACTGTCACCATCCTCCTGCCAGAACCAACACCCAACTCTTCTCTCCCCGGCATGACGTTGCCAGGTCTTTTCTTTCTCCCCCAGATGTTCCCATGCCCCTCTGTCCTCTTCTTCACTTCCTTTGGTCCTGGTCTCTGCCTTCACCCCCAGCATCCCTCCTTCATTTCCACTCTCTCTTCTCAGACTCCCCGCTTCCCTCTCTCATCTCTACCCCTTCAGGATCAATCACACTCTGCGAGGCTCTGATTTCTCCTCTTTAACTTCCAACACTTCCTTTCTGTCTTGCCTCTTGGCTTCAACCCCTCATCCGCCTCAGTCACTGGTACCTTCACCGATAACATCTTTCTCTCCCACAGAAACAGATTTGTCAATATTATCTTTCACTTCCTGCAAGAAATCCCCCTGGTCTTCCACCCCCTCCTCGATCCCCTGTTCTCTATCACTCCCTCTGACACTTTCAAAAGGAACTGCCATCTCCTCATCAGTAAATCCCATCACTCTTTCATCACCAGTAGCTTCTATCACTTTTTCAGTTTTCTCATTTATGCTCCCCCTTGTTGAACCCTCCAACGACTCCCCACTGGTCCCCAGAATCTCCTCGCTAGATCCCAGCATCTCTGCACTTGACCCCAGCTCCTGTCCACTCAACCTCAGCTTCTCTCCACTCGATCTCAGCTTCTCTCCACTGGACCTCAGCTTCTCTCTACTTGGTCCCAGCTTCTCTCCACTGGACCTCAGCTTCTCTCCACTGGACCTCAGCTTCTCCTCACTCGATCTCAGCTTCTCTCCACTCGATCTCAGCCTCTCTCTACTCAATCTCAGTTTCTCTCCACTCGATCTCAGCTTCTCTCCACTCGATCTCAGCTTCTCTCCACTCGATCTCAGCTTCTCTCCACTCGATCTCAGCTTCTCTCCACTCGATCTCAGCTTCTCTCCACTCGATCTCAGCTTCTCTCCACTCGATCTCAGCCTCTCTCTACTCGATCTCAGTTTCTCTCTACTAGATCCCAGATTCTCTCCACTCGACCTCAGCTTCTCTCTACTTGATCCTAGCTTCTCTCCACTCAATCCCAAATTCTCTCTACTTGATCTCAGCTTCTCTCTACTAGATCTCAGCTTCTCTCCACTTGACCTCAGCTTCTCTCTGCTAGATCCCAGATTCTCTCCACTCGACCTCAGTTTCTCTCTACTTGATCCCAGATTCTCTCCACTCGGTCTCAGCTTTTCTCCACTGGATCCCCGCTTCTCTTCCCTGTACACCAGCTCCTCACCATTCAGTCTCAGCTTCTCTACACTGGGCCTCAGCTCCACCTCATTCGGCCCCAGTTTATGCCCTCTGGATCTCAAGTCCGCTCCACTGGCCCCTATCTTCTCCCCAGTAGACTTCAAGCTCTCTTCAAACCCAGACTCCCTCCTAGACCCCGCTGTCATCCTCTCACTCTCGGATTCAGCCCCTACTTTGCGTCTGACCTTTTGCTTTCCCCTGGAGCTGTCCTTCCTCAAATCTGTGGAAGCTCGTAATGCACTTGTTACGGCACGCAGCAGCCTCACATCCATCCTTTCCTGAATCGGGCCTGACTTCTCTTCCAAGTCGGTCTTTCCCACGTTTTCCAGTCTCCAGGCCTCAGGCTCAAGCTTCGGCTTTGGCGCGTTTCTCCCCAGGAGCTCTACCCTCCTCCCAATCACCACCAGCTCGTTCCAAGGCACCCACACTTTCTCTCGCGGCACCTGCTCCCCCTTGCAGCCCCGCCCCGGTGGCGACCGCCCGCGGACCCCGGCCTGACCTGGGACACCCTGGCCGCCAGCCTTCTTGCTGCCCCTGGCCCCCTTGGTCCTCTTACGCGGCTTATCCCGCCGCCCCCACACGGCCAAGTGCGGAAACCCTAACGGAATCCCTTTCTCCATAGACATTGGCCCCCGCCCTCACCCCTAGC